ATATGATTCTCTTTATGGAATTCTAGAAAATATCAACTAGTCCACAGTGACAGAGAACAGATCGGTGACTGCGTGGGGTGGGCGAGGGAGGGCAGGAGGAAGGGAATACAAAAGGACACGAGCAAACTTTGGGGGGTGACAGGTATGTTCATTATCTTGAGTGTGGTAGTGTTCTACAGGTGTATAAATATGTCAAAGCTTACCAAATTATACACTTTAAATATGTGTAGTTTATTATGTCACTATACCTCAATAAAACTGTTGTAAAATTGTAGTATGAAGTCTCTGTCTAGAAAGTTTAATATGCTAAAATGCATATCCCCAGGCACTAACGCTAGTTATTCTAATTCCAAAGTTCTGAGTGGAACCCAGAAGTCTGCATTTGTAACAAGCCCTTGAAATAATTATAATGCAGGTGTGGTGCCTAAACCACCATTTGAGAAACACTGACCCAGGGAGTAAGGATTTCTAGAACAGTCTTGTGACTAGAATGTTGTTTCTGGAAAAACAAGAAACTTTTTCCACTAAAGTTGCCATATCTTTCTGTGTTAAGCCTCTAGGGCACTCACACTCAAGTACCATAACATATATTTAACATAGTATTAATAGTTGAAAAACAGAAGTAAATCATAATTTCTTCCTAACTTACCTTCACACAAAATGAAATCAACTCTATAATCTTGTTACTATTTCCTGGCCGATGCCTACAGTTTGAATCAAGAACTTGTATCACTTGGTTCTTGTGACAGAAAACTAATGTGGTGGCTTTCCAATTACATTTCTTAGTTTACCTTTTTCCACATTTTACGAATGCACACCTACCTTTGCGCACTGCTGACTGGCTGATGATCAGAGAAGACAAAGAAAGAATGTGAAATGGTTGCATTCCTGCTAAGTCTCTGAAGGAAACAATTCATCTTTTCATTTTTATATATTTTTTTCTTGTCAAACGAATGAACCATTGCCAGTATAAATGATAAGAGGTTGATTTCCCACATGAGACTGGCACTTCCTAACCCCAGCAACATTACCTGAAGTGAGTATTAGAACTTAATTGATAAAGCTTGGTATGGATTTTCCCACCAAACATCCCTACTGTTATAAGAATTAATTGAAAAAAAAAAAACCAAATATGAAAAGGCAAAGCTCACTTAAAGACGATTTTTAGTATAGTGGGTAACATCAGTAAAATGGTGAAGAAACACTCAAAAATTCTCTCCTTCATGAAAACATGGAAAAAACTGGCAAAAATTGTTAGAAACAATTTTCTTCAGAACACTGGAAATTAAATGGATTTATATCAATCTGGAGAGCATTTATTAAAGAAAAATTATTATATCTCAGTATGAACAGTGAACTTTGTGGTGTTTTAATCTGCCCTATTCCTATCCTCCACCTCCTTGGTGGGAGCCTTGGAAACCAACAGCCTGCAGTGATGGTGAACATTAGCTGTCTGGCAGCCATGGCTGCGGGCAAACAGGGATGGAGCTCCTGCAACGCCTCATCCCCAGAGAATTGTCATTATTTGACCTGTCCAGGGGTTCCTTGGAATACTCCACTTACAAGGCTGTCTTTATTAGACCTGACTTAGAACTTCTCCAGTGTGAAGTCTTGTCCTCAGGGACATTTGTAAAAAATGACTAGAGGCAATTGTTTAATTTCATGGCTGCCTCAGGCACTGAATAATAGTTGGGGAAAAAATGGGCTAATCGAAAAGTTTAAAAGGAAAAGCTTTGGGATGAGATGTTCATAGGGGCTTAGAAAAACTCCAAAATATCTGTAAGAATCTAGAAAGCCATGCACACCCGTCCTGTGGGCATGCTCAGGAAAGATCTGAGAAGGCCCTGTGCTCTCACCTCTGGCTGATCTTGATGCTGAAGTGAAGGCTAAGCAGGAATTGTCAACTGCCTGGCTGAGGGTTGAAGGTGTGCCCCAGTGTGCACACAGAGCCCCTTGGCGAAGACTGGAAGATTTACTGGTTTCAGGTGTTTAAAGAAATCTCTGTCCTGTCATCAGCTGACCACTAAGCTAACTGAGCAGAGACTTCAGTGGCCATACAGATAATGAATGCAGACTTTACAGAGTGAGTTTAGAAAAGTCACTAAACAAAGAAACGACAACAAACAGCAAAAACAACAAACACAGGGAAGGGAGGAGAATCTGATTTCCAGAGTTGCCACATTATGTTATTTAAAATGTCCAGTTTTCAATAGAAAATTATGAGACATAATTTTGGCCCATACACAGGAAAAAAGTCAATAGAAATGGTCTCTGAGGAAGCCAAGATATTGGACTTACTAGACCAAGACTTTAAATCAGCTATTTTTTCAATGTTCAGAGTTAAAGGAAATCATAAAGAACAAATGGAAAGCACAAGAACATACTCTCACTAAATAGAGAATATACATAGAGAATATGTATATATTTTTAAAAGGACCAAGTAGAAATTCTAGAGTTGAAAAGTATAATAATTGAAGTGAAAAAATCACTAGAGTTGCTCAATAGCAGATTTGAAGAGGCTGAAGAAAGAATCAGAGAACTTAGATATAGAACAATCAAAACTATTCAGTCTGAGGAAGAGAAAGAAAAATGAATGAAGAAAAGATGAGCAGATCCTCAGAGACCTGTGGGTCACTATTGAGCATACGAACTACACATAATGTAAGTCTCAGAAAGAGAAGAGAAAGACAAAGGGGCTGAAAAAATAAGGAAATAATGGCTGAAGTCTTCCCAAATTTGACAAAAAACATTAATCTATACATTCAAAAAAGTTTACAAACTCCAAGATATATGAATTCAAAGAGATCTACACCTAGACATATAATAATCAAACTATCAAAAGACAAAGAATCTTTTTTTTTTTTTTTTTTGAGACAGAGTCTTGCTTTGCCCTGGGTGCCCCATTCTCTTTCACTTCCTCGCCGTGGCGTCAGCCTAGCTCACAGCAACCTCAAACTCCTGGGCTCAAGCGATCCTCCTGCCTCAGCCTCCAGTAGCTGGGACTACAGGCATGTGCCACCATGCCCGGCTAATTTTTTCTGTATATATATATTTTTAGTTGTCCAGATCATTTCTTTCTATTTTTTAGTAGAGACGGGGTCTCGCTCTTGCTCAGACTGGTCTCGAACTCCTGACCTTGAGCAATCCACCCGCCTCGGCCTCCCAGAGGGCTAGGATTACAGGCGTGAGCCACCGCACCCGGCCAAAAGACAAAGAATCTTGAAAGCAACAAGCACATAAAAGGAATTTTCAATAAGATTAACAGCTGATTTCTCATCAGAAACCACAAAGTCCAAAAGGCAGTAGGATGACACATTCAAAGTACTTAAAGAAAAAACTGTCAGCCAAGAATTCTGTATCTAAGCCCAATTTATTTTCCACAAAAATGCCAAGATTGTTCAATGGAGGTAAGAATAGTCTTTTCAACCAATGGCTCTGGGACAACAGATATCCACATGTAAAAGAGTGAACTTGGACCCCTAATTCATATCATATACAAAAATTAACTCGAAATGAATCAAAGACCTGCATGAAAGAGTTAAAACTATAAATTCTTAGAAGAAAGCATAGGTGTAAATTGTCATGACCTTGGATTGGGCAATGCTTTCTTAGATATGACATCCAAAAAAGAAGACACCAAAGAAAAATAGATAAACTAGACTTCATCAAAAGGAAAAACATTTGTGCCTCACCTCTAAGAAAGTAAAGACTGCATGAAATGGAAAAAAATACTTGAAAATCATATATCTGATAAGAGTCTAATATCCAGAATATATATATAACTTTTACTATTTAACCATAAAAATGACAAGCCAGTTTAAAAATGGGCAAAGGAGTTGAATAGACATTCTCCAAAGAAGATATACCAATGGCCAACAAGCATACGAAAAGATCAACATCACTAGTCAAGAGGGAAATGCAAATCAAAACCACCGCTACACACCCACCAGGATGGCAATAATAAATAACAAGTGTTGGGGAGGAAGTGGAAAACACAGAACCCTCATACATTGTGTGAATGTGAAATGGCACAGCTTTGGAAAACAATTTGGAAGTTCCTCAGAAAGTTAACATAGAATTATCACATGGCCTAGCAATTCCACTTATATATATCCAAGAAAATTGGAAATAAAGAGTCACAAAAACACTTGTATACAAATATCCATAGCAGCATTATTTACAATATCCAAAAAGCAAAACAATTCAAATATTTATCAACTGATGAATGGATAAACAAATATGGTAGATCCATGCAATGAACTACTATTCAGCCATTAAAAGGTACAGAGTACTGACATATGCTACAAAATGAATAAAACTTGAAAAAATTATGCTAGGAGAAAGAAGCCTGAAAGGGCCACATTTTATATGATTCCATTTATATAAAATGCCTAGAACAGGAAAATTCAATAGCGACAGAAAGTATACTAGCGGTTGCCAGGGGCTGGGGAGAAAGGAAAGATGCAGAGTAACTGCTAATTGGTGCAGGACTTTTTTTAGGGGCAGGTTACGAAAATGTTCTAAAATTAGAATTAGAATTAGAGTGGTTATTGTTACACAACTTTGTGAACAGTGTCAAACCCCCTGAATTATATACTTTAAGAGAGTGAATTTTATGGTATGTTGTTTATATCTTAACACTTAAAAAAAAGTAGTACAGCTTTTGAAAGGTAGTACTGACCATTTGAATCTCTGTTAACATTTTCTTGAGTGGTTTTGGGATTTTTGATTGAAAAGTCGATGTTGGCAACCAGATGCACGGGGGGAACACAACTAAAAGGGACACACCAAAACAACTTCACATAACCACATGCAACCACAAAAAAACAAACTCCCTCACGATCTAAAGCAAGCATAGGTGCTTTCAGGGACTGTGAAAATGTGGCCACAGTTATTCTCCTAGCACACCATTTTCTTTAATAGTATCTCCGATCTGCACACCCACCACAAAGCTGGAATCAGCATCTCTCTCCAGACTAAAGACAGCAGGGATAACTTACCTTTAACATCGTTTTGTTGCTCCATCAGTAATTTACTTATTTCTGAAAACCAACAATCTCTGATTTCTTTTGAAGCTGCCTGTAATTACAGAGAAGAAAATACTATGAATATCAGATCACCCTGAGTATTAACTGGACAGAGCTTTTATTCTCTGAGTGATCTTTAGAATAATGAGATAGAAAATAACTTGTCAAGTCATGAGAGCACAATAGGGAAAGAGCAGAGGAGATCTATGGGGAAGGTATGTTCTTTACCTGCAGGATGTATTTCTCAAGTCCATTTTGGTTGGCAATTTCAAACTTTTTAGTGCTCCCCCTTCCAAGTTGGCGAATTGAGAGTGTCATCAACTATTGTAAAAGAAGGAAGAGAAATGTTCTATATCATCATTTTCTGATTTTAAAATTGTCCGTGTCGGTCACTCTAATCCTTTCTACCGCTGACAGCTTTCTTCTTCCATCTTCCTTCCAAGTGTTTTACTTTCCTCTGTTAGTGGCTCCAAGGAACCATAAAGCACAATCGGGCACCATGTCATCTGTCTTCTCTGTTTCAGAAGGTAACGTAGACTGTATCTGTTCATAAAGAGAGCTGTAGCCCTCAACCTTTAAGCGAGCAGATCATCTGTCCTTTTAGTACCTATTTCACAAAACTCTGTGTAATAGTAACTGAATGAGTATCCATTAAGAAACATAAATAACAAAGGCTACTGTGAATAAACTAATGGCTTTAATCAAAGGAGTGTTTGTGGGTGTGTGTGTGTGTGTGTGTGTGTGTGTGTGTACCTCATAGCTAGCTGGCTATGTAACATTTCCTATACAGTTGAGAAACAATGCTTGGTGTAGACATGAGTCCCTAGACCCCCAGGGTCAGGATACTGCCTAGACTCTACACAAAGATGTGCAGTTGAGAAGGGCAGGTCTGAGATGAAATCCAGCCCACACTCTAATCACCAAGTCTTTCACCCCTCTGCCTGGAGGAAAGAGGGTACTTTCTATTAGTTTGTCTAGATAGGCTACCATAAGTTCCCTTTTCTTTGCTTACCACAAAGGCACCTCTATGCCAGCCCTGGCCCTGTCTATGACTGATTACAAGCCCTGACTCTGGACTCAGACAGACCTGGATGTGGATTCTAGTTCTGTTGTGTGGTATTTGGCAACTTCACTTCTCTAAGATTCAGCTTCCTCATCTATAACAAGGATCTCTCTCTTTCCCTCTACCTCTCTCTCCACTTCTAAGATTCCCCAGGAGTTCCTTTACCTTCATAGACTTCTTAAAGCTGTAATGAGGAGACAGCCCCTGGTCACCAGGCTCCACGTGTATCTTACAGAACACTATTCCCCTTTCGAATAGATAGATTTGCCTCTGACTGGGCTTAAATCGAATAAAATCCTTCATTTTATAACGATCCTTGTGGATTGTCCAGACGTTGAAAGGGCCATGCATCAACATCTTGCCCAGTTTGCCAATATCATCCTTTTGGAAACACAGACATGCAGAAAAAGAAGCTGTTAAGTTACTTGACAGAGAAAGAATATTTTGGGGTCTGTTTTCAAATTATAAAGCATGCTTATTTGAGGTTTACAATTCTAAAAGTGGCACTTGGGCTAATCTGTCACTAAATTAAAACTACAGTTTTGTGAGTTTCACTGAGCAAGACACCATTCTCAGTTATATAAGGAAATCAGTTCAACTAGATAAGGTAATAGTATACATAAAGGATGTTAGAAATACTTAAACTAAAGATATTTTAGTTCAAGTATTTTATCTATCTTGTAATTAATTTTAGCTAGCAAAATTCCATTTCCTTTTTTTTCGTGTTCGATATGTGACAGTCTACTTAAAAAGGGCAAGAACTTAATGTTTTAATTCTGCTCGGGAGAGACAGAATTGTTGCTGCATTATGGACCTGTGATAATCCGTGTGTTCCATCTGCATCCTAACATCTGCTTCAGGTACATGAGAACCTGAGTACATGAGGTTTGTTCTGAAAGGAGAAAACTTAGAGGGACATACTCTTTGTAACATTGTAATAGACAGTAATTTCATTTTTCACTCAGCATTTCTCAGAGTGAGTGGACATACAAAGATAACCATAAATGACAGATTTTTTTTTTTTTTTTTTAAAAGTCTACACATCTATTTGACTCTAGGGCACACATTGTGATGCCTCTCCCTCCATCAGCAAGCCTGCCTCTCTCATATGCCTAGCTGACAGTACAGATGAGATGACCCTTCCTTCTCCGAGCTCTCTCCAAAGGGCAGTAGAGTGAGATCAACTCAGAGCACGGTATTTTAAAAAAATTAGATCATTTAGAGCAGATAACCAAAAATTCATTTCTCTAAATCAAAATATCAAAAGGGCAAATTATTTGAATAGGACCATGACAAAGAAATCTCCCTGAGTTACATCTCGCTGAGATCAATCCCTACTGTTTCTGAGAGTTAATATAAGAAATATGTACTTTATTTATAATTGACTGGAAATGTTAATAATTTATTATGTATATATTGAGCAAATTCTAAATATCTTTTATCTCGCTGAGATCAATCCCTACTGTTTCTGAGAGTTAATATAAGAAATATGTACTTTATTTATAATTGACTGGAAATGCAAATAATTTATTATGTATATAATCAATAACATATATATGTGTACATGGACTTTAATAGAAGGCATGCAATATGTCCACCCAATATGCTAACAGAGAAGTACAAAAAATCTTGGTAAATTAGAGTAAACCTTAAATAATTATCTTGATTCCTAGTTTGTCTAAGCCATAAATGGAAACTCAGATTTTATGACTTAGGAAGTTGTGGAAATTTTTTTGCTGACTTCATCAGGGGTCTATTTCAACACCAAGGAAAGGAAATTTTCAAGCTCGATAATAGAAATGGTGCAGGCTTTCAAGGAGAAAGGGTCAACACTGAAAAATGAAACTTTAAGCAGGCAGAATGTCTTCTTATATTCAGAATATTTTCCATCAGAGAAATGATAGTTTTGAAATCCACATTAAAGCAGAATTTTAGCGCTCACATCTATCGCCTTCCAGGCATCTCGAAATCAAAACAAGAAAAATCCTTCAGAAGAGTGGAAGCTTTACTCTTTCCCGGCAATCTGAAAAATAAAAATGCATTCTGTATTCCTTTCTCAAAGTTTTTACTTGTAACTCTCTAAGTGTCTGCTTACTGCTGGCCACTGGATCATTATAAGTCTGATAGCTGCTAAAACAAGAATCCTAATCAAATTTAACAAATCTTCTCTGAAATGATTTATCTTGTCATAGCTATAGAGAA